GTAGTTGGGGCTGGCTCGTCTTTACCTCGGTCTGACGAGCGCCCATCAAGTTTAAAGGAGGTTCTAAATGATCTTCCTCCCTGTTAAGCTTTTTCTTCTGGCAGGTTGGGCAGTTGCAGACTTCAGATCTCTTAATGTGCCTCTCAATCAGTATTCGTGATGGCTCGGAATCTATTGCTGGTGGGGCGACTGGAGGTGCCCCTTGTAGTTGTGTTGATTGCACTATTCCGTGCGTTCTTGTTTGTTGGTATTGGGGACGTTGATTTTTAGGAAAATATTCGGGGTTTTGGGAAGAATATTGGGGATTAGTTTGAGGGAAGTATTGAGGATTATACTGAGGGTTGTAGGGTGGACGGGAGATGTAGGGTTTGTAGGAGGGATTATAATTTCCAGGGAGATTTGGATTTTGATATTGAGTTCGATATTGGGAATTTCTTTGGGTGTAATTTTTATTGTGAGGACGATTATTGTTCACAGAATATACCAACGCTTGCGGATCTTCGCAATCTGAGTGTTCGCATTCGCTGTTTCCGCAAGGTGGTAGTCCATACCAGCCTTGAGTGGCAACTGGATAGTCTTCGTAGTAGTGTGCTTCTTCGTTGCCGAAATTTGATATGCCTGGTGTATTGTAGGCAAAAGCGACCGGTTCCGGATTGGCATAGGGATCAGTTTCCGGTTTGGACCACGGATGTCCATGGGCTGGGGGCCCTTGTTGATTATTTTGGAAGTATCCTCGTGGACCGTTGTTGCGAGGATAGTGATTTCCGTTCTGGTCTTGCGGAAATTCTCTTTGAGAAGGTTTCGGATTCTGGATCCTCATGTTGTTATCGTATTTCAGTATTTGTTCTTGGATTGACTCATACAGCGCGGTCAACGTTGCGTGTTGTTGAGTCGAGGCGAGGCATTTCAAATAATCTGGCAGAGATTCTAAAAATAGATCAACCGCCAGACGATGGGCTTGATTTGTAATTGCTACCCGATCGGCGTCTGGGACTGCATTCTGTATTTTACGAAGCATAGATCTTAATCGGTAGTAAAAGCTCTCGACTGCTTCGAATTTTCCCCTCTGGGCTGAAGTTAATTTTGCTAAGTTTATTCGAAGCGGATCTCCGAGCCGAAAGTGGCTTCGTAGAACGTTCACGAGTTCATGTACGGTTCAGATTTCCATATCTTCGACGACATTTCTTGCACGACCCCTCAGCTTCCGGAGAATGCGTCCGATAAAGGGCTGTTGATTATTATCGGGCATCATATGTAGCCAATCTTTTAGACGGTTGTCGAATTCTTCATAGCTGACGTCTCCATCGCCGGTGAACGTGGGGAGTGCCTCTTCCATCTCCTTAGTGATTTTGTAGTAGTCCCTTTCGCGTTCGTTACGCGTGAGGTCGAATAATTTGACCCCTTGTCGATTAGCTTCATTCTCGGCTTCCTCTCGTTCCCTGCGGAGCCGCTCCGCTTCGAGACTGGCCCGCTCTGCTGCTGCTGCTGCTGCTGCTGCTGCTACTTGTTCTGGATTTGGAGGTGCCATTGCTGTTAGTTTTATTCAAGTTGGAAATAGGAGATATTTTAAATAGTCCGATTGGAGCTGGGATGTTACTTATTATCCTAGGCTTCTTAGATGGCGTTTCTTCGACAAGACAATTTAATTGGATGACTGGGATCTGATTTATCCAGTTAACGACTTTGGTGTATACTTCAATAGGGATCACGTTGTTCGGTTTTGAAACCGGTCTTCTCTCTTTACTCGTTGAAGGAGGCCCGTTTAACGGTGTCTTAATACAAATTTTCTGTTCACTCTCAGTTGTGAATTTCCTTTTCCTTATGACCGAAGAGAACGGGTTAACAAAGGTAGGATCTTCCCAATAACGCGATTCTATTAAGGGACGGCGGTAAATTTGACCGTTAAAGAAGTCTGAGTAAGCTTTTCGAATTTGAAATTTAAAACCGCTTCGCGAATGTCGGACCATCAATATATATTTTTATTTCTGCTATAGTTAGCACTTTATGAGTTCGATAACGACGGAGAAAGGAAAAAAAAAGGAAATATAAAAAAAAAATTTTTAACAAAACAAATAAAACAAACAAAGAAAAAAAAAATTTCAAATAAACAACAAAAAAAAAATTTTGTTAGTGCTGTGTAGCTCGCAAAATTTTCCAATAGAGTTTTGTTGCTCGATAGACAGCAGCAAAATTCCAAGAGGGAGATTTTGTGTCTCAAGGGTGTAAAGAATAAACCCACAATTTACTGAATCGAAGATTCAACCTCGAGAACGATCCTCGTTGCTCGTAAAACAGCAGCAAGGTGTTTCGAAATGATCTTCGGGTCAAGGAACTGCTGGTATTGCAGCATAACCCCGTAAGCAAATCGTAGAGTTTAATCAGCACTGGTTCACAGCTGTTGATATGATAAAAATAATAAGATAAAAATTATAAGATGAGGATGAACTTGAAAAGAATTTTTCGCGTCAGCAAAATTGAAACGCGATAGCTAAGTGTGTTGCAACGGGTATTTTCAACGGATGACGCGCTAAGGAACTAAAAGTCTTAGTCAGCAAAAATTCCCTATTAAATGCAACAGTCTAATATCAAAATAATAAAATGATATTGAAGGAATGAATAAAATAATGTTTTAAAACAAATAAAAATATATATTTCTTTTTTTTTTGTTGAGGGCCGACGCCCTAGTCTAATAATATTTCGAAAGTTAATTTCTAGAAAGCTGATTTTGCGTTGGCAAAACTAATTGTAAAAACACTCGGTGAGTTTAAAGAGTCGGATTAAAATTTATATTAATAAACTGGAATGTCTGAATCAGCAAAAAAAAGTTTTATAAGCCAGAATTTAACGATAGAATAATGTAACGATATTTTACTCGGAATAATAAAAAAAAATTTTTAACAATTAAATGAGTTTGTTTTATCACCAATGCGATCACAAGTTTTCGACTAGTTTTAAACTAATTCAAGTCAAGATGGAGCATTCCATCTTCGCTAAAGATCGAAACGGGATTGTCTCTTATTGTTAGGTCGATAGACTCCATCAAACAAGAATACTAGTAAGCTGGAAGTTGTTAGTATCTGTTCGAGGTATAATGATGTTAATAAACGAAACAACATGTTATCGAATAGATCCAGGTTCGAGTCCTGGCTTGGTTAATTTTTCAAAAATTTTTTCAAAGTTACTTTCGCTCTCAGACGATTTTCGTTTATTAACATCTTTATACCTCGGACAGATACAAACAACTTCCAGCTTACTAGTATTCTTGTTTGATGGAGTCCATCGACCTAACAATAAGAGACAATCCCGTTTCGATCTTTAGCGAAGATGGAATGCTCCATCTCGACTTGAATTAGTTTAAAACTAGTCGAAAAATAGTGATCGCATTGGTGATAAAACAAACTCATTTAATTAATGTCAATGTTAATATTTGTATAAGTTTCTTCAATTTTTTGAGATTCGAGGACTTTAGGCTTCGCAGTATGATAGTACTCGGATAGGAAACGATCTCTGGAACAAAGTGGGGATGAAATACATTTAATCTTTCATCGCGTAATATTTAATCCTTTCTATACTTATACCGTTACGAGTCTCGGTCAAGGTCAGTGTCCAGATCAGACACCTGTTTTGCATTTATTTATACCAACTATATTTATTATGTTAATATTTATTTCGTTTATGATCGAGCACAACTGACTATTCGGTTCAATATATCATTTATATTTTTATTATTATTATAAAAAACGTAAATTTTATCCCACGGAGAAAGATATTTACCTTTTTAGTTATGGGAAAAATAATAAAGATTGAAAAAACGCTAATAAATAATGCGCTTATTAGAAATTATTAAATCTGAAAATTATTATTTTAATTTTATTATTAATAATGGGACACTCAATAATTTTCAATTAATTTTATTAATGTTTATAAACTCAATATTTTTTGAAAAATATTTCATTGAAATTTTCACTTTAATAATTATCAATTTTTATTATATTTTATAAAAATAAATTTTTATTTTGTAAAAAAATATTTATAACTTATTTCTGTGTCTGTTTTTTATTAGTGGAATTAAATAACATATTTTTAAAAATTTTTTTTCTTAATTATTCATTTTATAGAAAATTTTTTATTTTATAAACTGAATAATATTTTTCTAAAAAATATTTCATTGAAATTTTCACTCAAATAATTATCAAATTTTATTCTATTTTATAAAAATAAATTTTTACTCTGTAAAAAAAATTTATTACTTATTTCTGTGTCTGTTTTCTATCAGCGGAATTTAATAACAAATTTTTAAAACTTATTTAAAATTTTTTATCTTAATTATTAATTTCATTGAAAATTTCAATCTTAAATAATTATCAAATTTAATTATTCTATTTTTTGAAAATAAAATTTTGAAATAAACTTTATCGATAAAGTGAGTTTCAATTTAACAATTTAAAAATTTATAAAATTCGAAATATTTAAAAGATTATCATTTTCATATATATAATTCAGCATTAATGTAGTAATAGAATAAATAAACAAATAATCAAGTATTTATTGATCGATAAAATAAAAATAATATTTTTAAGAGTGGGGATAGTGTTTCCAACCCCGCCGACAGATGACTCTGCTTAAAAAGTTTCTCGCATGCACTCTTCATACATGCTGTTTAGTATATATAAAAGTTTCAACGTACATTCAGATGTACTTGCTTCGGCAGTACATATACTAAAATTGGAACGATACAGAGAAGATTAGCATGGCCCCTGCGCAAGGATGACACGCAAAATCGTGAAGCGTTCCACATTTTTTGCAATTTCAAATCTTCTATTTACATTTTTAAATTACCAACTCATCTTTTTATTTCATCTAATCTTCCTCTTTAATTTACACTTTAATTCTGCGAATAATTAAATCGAGAAATACATAATAATATTTCATTTTAAAAATTTATTTAAAAAAAATCCGTGATAAAAAATTATCCTCGTAAAAATAAATAATATTTAAAAATGAAAATAATATCATCAGCAAGAATAAAAAGATTTGATTGCAGTGCGTAATAGACAATAATTATTTATAATTTTCTCGGTAACAAAAATTAATCGGTTGAATAATTACAATGAATATTTATAACTACTTATTTATCAATCACTTTTATCAAATAATTTAAGCGCTGTTACTCAATAAAAAATAATATTAATTTATTAATCATCTTATTCATCGCTTAGTCAATTATTAAATTACCCGTCAATCATAAATTGCAACTATTTTTAAATCAATACATTCTATGTATCTTTTACAGTTTCCAGATACTTTAACTGAGGACAGTATCCTTAACGGTATTGCAATTGTTCCTGGAAGATTACCGGAAGATATTGAAATTTCAAAAGCTGCTGAAGATCTTTTAAAGAAAATTCTAAATCCAGATCCTAGAGCTCGGTTAAGATCAATCTTCGCTTTACAACGAATTGCTTTTTTTATGGGACATGACATCCAGAGTTTCATGTCAAAAAAGGTAATAAAAATTAATTTAGCAGAAATTTAATAATTTAAAAAATTTTTGTAAGAAATAAATTATGGCAAAAAAAAATTGACATAAAAAATAAAAAAAATGCAATTTTTTTTAAATAAATATCATTTTGATTCTCCAATCTAAGAAACCATCAGTGGCACCTATCAATTATAGAACTCAACCCCACCCTACCCTCCCCCACAACCGTTGCCATGGTTACCGTTACCATGGTTACCGTTACTATGGTTACCATTACTATGGTAACCGTTGCTATAATAACTATGGCACGCCGTTTTACTATTTAATAGAAGGAAAAAAATTAGCTTAAAATTAATAACTAAAAAGAAAAATTAGAAAAACGGTTCACCCTAAAGGCCATCCCTGCAACTTCCCGCTCATTTTGTACTTAACCGCTTCAAACTACACATTACGTTTTTGAGCTCTTCGAGCTCAAAACTCTGATAGCAGTTTAAAGACACAATTTTTTGATTATTCAAACGGCAATAATTTTTGAATGAATGAACCGATTTTCACGCGGTTGGTGGCAATCGACGCAGTTTTTAAGCTCTATAAAAAACTTTCCAAGTTCAAATCGATCGAGCCATGAATTTCGAAGTTATTACAAAAAAACACTTTTTTTCGACTTTTTTTCGACAACGATATCTCACGAACGCATCAACCGATTCTAACGTTTTTGGTGGCGATCGGTGGAGGTTTTCAAGGTTAAGAGCTGATTAGTTTTTGAGAACGATCGGTTCAGCCAATTCGGAGATATTTGGAAAAAAAAAAAAAACAACTTTTTTTTTTTACTTTTTTTTCACTTTTTTTGCATTGTCTCGAAATCTACCTGTAAGAATCGGTTCAAATTTTTAGGAAATCTAAGTTTAGTGAAGCCCTTTCGAATGACACCTACCGCGATGAAATCGGTCAAATAGTTCAAAAGTTACAAGAGGTTTACATACACACACTTACACACACACACACACACACACACACTCACACACACACACACACACACACGGAGGGTAGCGTTGTTCGCGTCCGTAGATTCTGCTTTTACACCCTACACGAGCTCTCCGGGTAGTGCTAAATAAATAACACCAAACAACGATATGGAAATGTCAGAAGATCTGCAAACATCGTTTACAGTACAGAGGATGGATACCTCAGTGCCGGTGAGGGGAGACGTGCAAACGGGCCCGAACTTGTCGTTATCAAGCGACCGTTACGACAACAGGGTAGACCCCATGGCTCTGCTGTCTGGAAATGGTACAGGGAGTACGAAAACAGCCCAGATGGAGGAGAACGGACAGCTGAACAACGGTCCTTCAAAAAGTGGAGGACCTTTTGCTCCTGTCACGAACCAAACCTACCGAGGAAGAATAAACTCTGTACCGACTGTCACCAGCCAACAGTCACCAATGGAGAGACTCGACAGCAAGATTGAAAAGCTAGTCGACTTCATAAAGGACAAGAAAAATGTCCATCATGAGATCAGAAAAATAGTTACGTCTCTTGGTACGGCATATAGGCTTGCCAACAAATCACCAACGACGACAGCGTCAACGACTCAAACATCTCCGAGTCTGAGCAAAAAACCACAGCCACCTGTGGTCACTCCTAAGAGATTATCACAGCAAGGAGAGGGCAACAACAAGAAGAGGCCGCTGTCCACGCCCAGCCCCTCCGCAGAAATTGTCAAGCCAGCACAAAAAAAGCCAGCGGGTGATGATACTTGGACTGAAGTGACTTGGCCAAAGAAAACGAAGGATAGATAACAGAACCCAGCGGCTCAATCTGCTACAGTCCAAAACCAGCTAAGCAATGATGGCTCCAAGAAATCGAGAAGGAAGAGGACGAGAACTAAAGCTGTGCTTGTCCAACCAGCTGAAGGGCGGACATACGCCGATCTCCTCAGGGAAATCAAGGCTAAGGTAAGTCCTATCGAGACGGGCGTAGATATAAAGTCTATTAAAAAGACGAAACATGGAGGCATTCTCCTTGGAATGTCTCGAGAGACCGAGGACAGTAAGGCTTTCACCGATGCAGTAAAGTCAGCTACTGCAAACATCGGCACGGTCAAGACGCTATCACCAACAGCAACGATCGAGATCCTCGACCTGGATGAAATCTCTACCGAGAGCGAAGTCCGTGAAACACTTAAACGTGAATTCACTGACAGCCTGGAGGTCAAACGGGTCAATTTGACAAAGCCCACACCACGAGGTAATCGGGCAGCCTTCTACGAATTAGACGAGCCCAGTGCGATTAAGGCTATTGACAAGGCCCGTATACGGATCGGTTTGGTGAATTGTCGTATACGCCCAGTAGTAAAAGTAACACGTTGTTTTCAATGTCTTGGTTATGGACACCACACACGTCAGTGTGCGGGACCAGACAGAAGCAAGTGCTGTTACAAATGTGGCGGAGAGAACCACAAGGCCGTAAACTGCACGGAGAAGTTAAATGCTTCCTTTGTGCTGCGGACAAAGATGCCCAGGATAGTCTATGCCATATTTCTGGCACTGGAGCTTGCAAGGCATTTCGCAAAGCACTTGCAGAAGCTACGAGAGGTCAGAAATGACACGCATACCACAAGGCAACCTGAATAGGTGCGCCTTGGCGCAAAACCTGCTGCGCCAGCGTGTTTTTGATGATAAAATTGACGTCTGCTTTATCTGCGAGCTATATCTAAACATCGAAGGTAAAACATGGTTCGCAGACAAAACGGGCACGGCAGCAATTTGGATTGTGAACACAAAGAACGTTACCGTCAACAAGAGCGGAAGTGGAGCAGGTTTTGTCTTGATCCAAACCCCCACAACCTACTTCATGAGCGTCTATCTCTCACCTAACGAAGGGATAAGTGTGTTCCGACAGAAACTGTCAAATACAGAAGATGCGATCATTAAGTTATCGTAGCCGGAGAATTCAACGCTAAATCAGCTGAGTGGGGTGCTGCTTTCTCCGATACCAGAGAAAACGAGGTCACTGACGTCGCGGCTAGACTCGACCTCATAGTGCTGAATACCGGGAGCACAACGACCTTTAGAAGACCAGGGTACCAAGAATCCATCCTCGACATCTCATTGGCGACTCCAAGGACTGCCAACATGATCGAAGACTGGGTAGTATCCGAAAAATACAGTGGCAGTGATCACCAGTTCGTGACATTCAGCGTCGGATTGGCATTTGCTCCAGTTTCACAACGCAACGTTTCTAAGCGGAAGTGAAATGCCAAAAGGCTTGATCCAGAGGCATTGAAAGCTTCGCTTACACGAAGCTGGTCTATTCTTCAGAACAACACGACTCCGGATACGTGCAGCAAGACGGAAAAGGCAGTACTAAATACGATGAAGGAAATCGCTGCCGCATGTGATGCCTCTGTGCCGCGGCTGAAAAATCAGAGATTCGTCAGACATTCGACGACGTCGGCTAGCAACGAGAGCTGCGAAACGCTCCCCCAATTAAAATCTACTTTCTAGCGAGTATAAAGAGGCCAAAAAGAACCTAAACCGGGCAATCAAAGCAAGCAAAGCGAAATTGTGGCAAGAGATCTGTAACAACCTAGATAAAGACATCTGGGATAAAGCCTACCAAATTGTCGCCAAACGACTTGGAAAGGCTTCACCAGAGGCGCCGACGTCTCCTGCCATGATGAACAGCATTGTAGCGGAGCTTTTTCCCAAACACCTGCCGAGGGAAAAGAAACACTACACTAAGAACAGCGAAGTAACACCCTTCACAACTAAGGAACTACACGACGCGGCCAAGTCACTCAAAACAGGAAAGGCACCTGGACCTGATGGCATCCCTGCATCGGTGATCAAGATTCTAGCCCTGGAATACCCAGACATACTACTGAACACCTACAATGCATGCTTGGCAACTGGCACGTTTCCCACGGTCTGGAAACGGCCGAGATTGGTTCTCTTAGACAAAGGTAAGGGAACCCCCATAACACCTTCGTCGTTTAGACCACTCTGTATGCTGGATATTGCTGGAAAACTACTCGAGAAGCTCATACAAGGGAGACTTCGCAACGACATAGACCGTGCTGGAGGTTTTGCCGCGAACCAACATGGCTTCCGGAAAGGACGTTCAACAGTAGGCGCGATACAGAAAGTCGTATGGACAGCGAAAGAAGCATGGACTGGTAGCCTCAAAGCGCGCAAGGTGTGTCTTGTCCTCACGCTAGACATTAGAAATGCCTTTAACAGCGCAAATTGGAGAGATAGTTTGGACACCCTGGAGCACAGATTTGACGTAGAACCGGAGAATCTGGCACTAGTTGACAACTACCTTGACGAAAGGAAGCTAATAGCAGAAACCACGGAAGGCCCACAAGAATACGCCATAACGGCTGGCGTGCCGCAAGGCTCAATAATGGGCCCGATCTATGGAACGCGGACTACAACGAGCTTCTTGAAATCCCGTTGCTAAAGCAAGTGGAGCTAACGGGCTTTGCAGACGACGTCGCGGCCACGATAATAGTAGACAGCGTAGAGAAGGCCGAACTACTAGTTCGGGAAACCATTGATGCTGTCGAGACTTGGCTCGATAAACACCACCTGAAAGTCGCCAAGCACAAAACCGAGATGGTCGTTCTGACTCGCCAAAAATGGTTCCCAAAACCATTCGCTATGGACATGGGAGGAACAACACTCACGTCAACAAGGGCCCTGCGCTATCTAGGGGTAATGATAGACGAGAAACTATCTTTCTGTGAACACCTCGACAGTGCATGCAAGAAAGCCAGCAAGACTGTGTCTAGCCTAGCACGAATTATGACCAACACCATGGGACTAAGAACAAAAAAGAGAAGAGTTCTTCTAGAAGCAGTCCAGTCAGTACTGCTTTATGGAGCAGAGATATGGGCAGACATATTAAAGCAGAAGACCTACCGGCGAAAGATAGCAGCAGTACAGCGGCGAGACGCTCTCAGGGTTGCCTGCGCCTACCGCACAGTTTCCGAAGCTGCTGTATTGGTCATTGCAGGAGCCGCGCCCATCGACCTATTAGCGTTCGAAAGAGCAAAACTCTATGACGCTAAAATCAGTGACGAAAACATGAAGGACGCAAGAACAAGGATAAAGGCGGAAACGCAGCAAGAGTGGCAGGACCGATAGACATCGGGAGAGACGGGCAGATTGACGGCGCGCTTGATCCCAAACATCAACGTCTGGCTTTCTCGGAAGCACGGGGATATGGACTTCTTCCTGACCCAACTATTGACGGGACATGGGCAGTTCAATGCTTATCTTTTCAAGATGGGTTCGCACAGCACACCAATGTGCAAATAACGCCCAGACAAAATTGACAACGCCGAACACACGTTTTTCGAGTGTGATCGGTGGAAGGACGACAGAACCAGCACCGAAGAAACAATAGGCACCACGCTTTCCCCTGAGAGCTTGGTAACCTGCATGATAAAAAAAGAAGAAAACTGGTCAGTTGTCGCAGCCTACGCGCAGCGCCTTTTAAAAGAAAAAATCGCAGAAAGCGATTAGAATCCAGTAGTAACAAGAAGTAGGTGTCATGAGACACAACATGGACTGGATTGAAGTACTGCTAACGCGGTTCCGTTCCAGTCATCCCTGTAACATCTATAGGGAAAGGAGAGAGGAGGATGTTTAGTCGGTATTGTTGCAAATATTGACTTCCGAGTCCGACATACCCAGGCACCAACACCTAGTCCTGGCAACAACACCAAGCCCTGGCATACGTACATGTATTTTACCTCCTCTATAAAAAAAAAAAAATAAAAAACACACACACACACACACACACACACACACACATACACACACACACATACATACAGACGTATGGACATCATCGTAAAATTAGTCAGGGAAGCTTTCTGCAATAATTAAAAATCTTGCATAGAGTAAGTACATCTATTCTCAATAAAATCCGTAATCAGTCTCAAACGAAGGCGTGGTAAATTCGTACATCGAAAACGTCCCACAAAAATAATTAAACGACGGAATTAAAACCTCCGTTGCGTATTCTTTAAACTGTTTGTCCAAACCTCCACCGTTTACGCTACCGCTCTAAAAACGCCCTTGGACATAACAATGGTATCTTTCCCGGAAGTTGTGTCGACGAAGCGGTCAAAGTTATCGAAAGCAACATGAGTACTGAGTGTATTTGTTGCTATGATGCCTGCTGGTATTACAGCGCTATTTTGGATAGACGTGTAAGTCATTTCGGATTCGAGTTCTTCGGCTAAATTGTAACCAATTGAATGGCCATATCTATTAAGCATTGTAATTACTCGCCGAGAGTTAGTTAAAGACTTCATTGCCAGTCCAAGTGTTACGTTTTTCGATGGCTTACATCTTCCCTTGGTAACAGCGTATATTATGTCACTACATATTGATGTTATTTTTGTTGTAGTTAAGTCAGCATTTTCCTCACTTAAGTTTGGCCCATAAACGAGATTTCGTATAAAATTAAATAACTCCTGAGGAATTTCGCATTCTTCTCGTATGATGTCATCAACAGTTAAACGTCTAGGAAGAGGGTGAGAATCAATGTTCTTAATACAACTTCTCAAATCGTATGCAACATCTTCAAATTTATGCTCTTCTTTGCTTTCCAAAAATTTGGTATTATTTGCCATAATAGAGATGTCAATGTCTGTTTTGTAGATTATTTTTTGATGACGTGGCCCAGTAGATGCTTCAATAGTAACGGGATCACCAAAGATTTTTTCTATTTTTTTCTGCAACATTTCAGGTCGATAATCTTTGATAAAATCAAAATCTATTTCACAATCTCCAAACTCCAATAACAAAGACTGGTATCTTCGAAAGAGTTGAGCGAAATACATAACTTTGTTATTGTCAATAACCTCTTCTACAATAAAAGTTTTTAGCGATTCAAAAGCCAATTTGTGTATATTACGATATTTCTGGTTGATTGAATCGTTTGGTTCCTGAGTGGACCGTTTTTCTTTGGTCAAATAAAATACGTAGCAAGACTGATGATAAGCAATAGCTTGGTTTTCAAGTTTTGACAAGATTTTTGAATCATCAGTTTTTCTAGCTATTTGTTTTATTTTTTGAGTAACTTGGTCACTGTAAGGAAATGTAAGATTTTGTTTTTTCTTCCCGACATTTTTTCTTACGCTATCGCAAAATAAGCATATACTTTTATTAGACGACGATGCTGTTGATGTTGACGCTTCCTGAAACAATAAAATTCATTTTATAAATAGAAATTCACTGGAAAAAAATGGTTTTCAGTGTAAACATTTAATTGATCAAGAATTCATTTAATATTTCTTCAACTTTTATCATCTTAAACAAAAATCTGTTCATGAATAATGTATTTATAAATTTTTAGTAAATTTTTAAAAAATATTTTCTTCTTTTTTGTTGGCTCTAATTTAAATAAAAACCAAAATATTTTCCTACCTCATCCAAATCCGTAGGAGTGTGCGATGTGACATCAGTACTATTTTCTTCACCCTCATTTACCACTTTACTAGAATGGATACTAGAATCTAGACATCCTGTGCCTTCATCAGCTGTTGAAGTATTGGCATGTTCCTAGAAGCAATTTTTTATATTTAATGTTAATCTTTGAAATTTCATTGGTATAAAAAGCTTAGTTTACATCAATAATATTTTTTTGTCGTATTTTCTTCGGAAAAATTTAAAAAAATAATAAAAACGTAAAAAGGTAGAAATTGAAAGACAAAAAAAAAATACGAGAGGTCCTTCAGAAAAATTATTTTTCAAATTATTTATTTGATAACAACGAATTCAACGAACGTTAAAATTGTGCTATTTCGAATTCTATTAGATAATAATTGAAAGAATTATATATTATGTACTTACTGAATACTCTATAAGAAAAATTTTATAGTCTTCATGGTATTTACTTCGTAAAGCAGTTATTTTTTTGTAACACGTGGTATGGTAACCAACAAAATCAAGAGCTGCTTTAGTTAGTTCAACTTCTTGATATTTAAAGTTTTTCTTTTTACGAAAAGAACAGAACAACACGTGTTTTCGATGCGATATAATATCTTAAGTCAGCTACTCCAAAATAACGTGCACTGTTTACAATATGGAGGGTAGCAGGGGTACCTCTACTCTCCATAAAGTTTACATACTAAGCATGCGCACTTTCTTATACTCACGATCCCATCAGACCCAACAGCAATGTTCGGTCCTTTATTATCACACGGTATACTTACCTCGGACCTCTCTGTCACTCATTCCCGGATGCGTTAAAATTAAAATCTTTAAAATTTGTATACCCCTATTAGGACCGAATTTTTTGCAGTCTACCCTATATCATCGTGTTCAGAATAAAACAGCGCTTATGCTGATATAAATTTTTTTCTATTATCTAAGCTCTCTAGCTTAGATAATAGAGAAAGTAACTAGTACTGACATACCTGCTTATACCTGTCCACCCAGTAGTTCGTCCAGGTAAATAATAGTCTACCCTACGATTGCACATTCTATATGTTCTATACTTTACATCCAGTATAAAATTTTATTATTATCTTTATTTTGCAACATTTTATAAATAATCATTTTTTAAAAAATATTTAAAAATATCCTGTCCAGGATTTTTCTCGTCTACCCATTTTTAATATATTTTCTAATATATTCAATTTATTATAAAATAAGTTTGATTCTCTTATCAATCCGATAGGTCTCGATTTAGATTCGGATCTTCTACTAATAGGACAACTTGAAATTCACAATACCAATGATATGGTCTTCACCAACTGGTTTACAGAATTGTTATTTCTGTATGACAGATACTTCCGGATTTACCTGGAATACAAAAAACAAAATTGTATACGCCAATGTTTCATCAGCTGTTAAGCCACAAAAAATAGAAGTTGTCAAGGAAATTAATATGGTTGAAAGAAATGGATGAAGAAGAAGACGATACGCTAGTTGAAGAAAGTTCGGAAGAAGAATATTCAGAAGATGAAGAGTACTTACCGGGCGGAAAAACAAAAGACCCTAAAACGTTTAGCCGAGAATAACTTAATGATCTGGTTCGAGACTTGGCTTTCCCGACAGATGGAGCTGAATTACTTGTGTCAAGGTTGAAAGAAAAACATTTGTTGGTTAAAGGTGTATCAGTGACATTATATCGAAATAGGGAAAAAAAATTCCGGAAAATTTTTATGAACGACGATCGAAATTTGGTGGTATACTGTTCAGATATTAAAGCTTTATAGTTGATGGATTGAAACCGAACACGTATAAGGACGATGAGTGGAGACTTTTTATCGATTCAACGAAACGAAGTCTTAAAGCTGTTTTGCTTCGTATTGGGAATGAATTTACGCTGATTCCAATAGCTCATTCGACAAAAGTGAAAAAACTTATGAAAATTTATAGATTGTATTGGGGAAAAAAATATATTCAGAACACAACGGGAAAATTTGTGGAGATCTCAAAATTGCAACACTTCTTTTAGGTCAGCAATTGAGATTCACCAAATATACTTGCTATTTATGTTTGTTCGATAGCAGAGACCGGAAAAATCACTATCTCAAAAAAGAAATGGCCTTCAACATCTGCATTGAATCTAGGTTCCCATAACGTTATACGACCACCCTTAATTCAGCCTTCCAAATATTTGCTGCCACCACTACATATCAAGTTGGGACTCATAAAACAGTACGTGAAAGCTCTGAATAAAGATGGTAATTGTTTTGCGTACTTGAGAGGAAAGTTTCCTGCAATAAGTGATGCGAAATTGAAAGACGGAATTTTTGATGGACCCCAAATACGATCTTTATTTCAGGATGCCAATTTGGAAGGAACAATGAACGACACAGAAAAAGCAGCTTGGGTAAGCTTCAAAAATGTTTCACAAAACTTTTTGGGAAATAACAGAAGTGAGGATTACAGCACTTTAGTTGACGCATTGCTGGAAAACTACAAAAATTTGGGTTGTTTAATGAATCTCAAATTACACTTTTTCGATTCTCATCTTGACTACTTTCCTGACAATTGTGGAGACTATAGTGAAGAACAGGGAGAACTTTTTCACCAAGACATTAGTGAAATGGAGAGTAGATAACAAGGAAATTGGAGTGAACATGATGGCAGATTTTTGTTGGATGTTAAAAAGAGAAGAATCCGAAGAAAATCGTAAACGAGGAATCAACTAAGAAGATCATTTGAGGATAAAAGAAAGCGAAACAAACGAAGAAAAGTTCAGGATTCGTAGAAATCATTTCTTTCTATCTTTTTATGTCTTGTGTTTTTCATAGATTTCAAGTTATTTGATATATCTACGTTATAGAGTATTTATTTTAGGCATTAAATCATGTTCAATCAATTTTTTTTCTGTTATGAATGGTAATTTTTACAATTTTTTCGAATTTTTTCAGCTTTAGACGGTGAATAGACTAAAAAAATTAAGATGCGAATTGAAGACATCAATAGATATAAAATTTTATCTGAATTGGACCAGAAGAAGTTTTTTTATCATGAAAACTATGTTTTTTCGGAATTTTCGAGAGTTTTGTGTGATTTTTTCACATTTAAAATGGCTCGTGGTCTCAATTAAGTTTCGATTTAGTTCCAAAACATTTTTTTATCATTAAAACTGCCAATTTTCATCATTTTTACGGTTTTTTGGAGTTTTCTCGAAATTCCGAGTGTGTAGGGGTCAAACTGACCTCGAATTCGGATTTAGCGGACCAAAATACGTACCCGTAGGTAGGTCCGGTCAAATGCACATTCTACTTAATTTTTTTTGTGTGCCGGTGTAGTTAGTGTTAAATAAAACATAAAAACTGACAGTTAAAGAGTATGAAATAATAATGTACAACTGTGTGTGTAGATGGCTAGGTATGATAAATTAAATTTTAATTCTTGTTCATATTTTGTAAATTCATAATTGTAAACGGCAATAGTTGTACAGCACAATATGTGTAGATTAACCTTGTTTTGTCAATATTCGTTATGTTAAAATAAAGTTCTAAGATTAATAAGTATAGAAAAATATCAACAAAAGACAATTACTTTTAAATCTTGTAAATACTTACGTACGACTAGAATGCCATTCTATAAAATATTAGACTCTATATTTTTACAGGGAGCAAGTCTTACATAATAGAATAATATTTATAAACAATTTTGTATTAAGTTCAGAATATAAAAATCAAACATCACATGATAGTGAGCTCTTGCATATATTTGTGTATTTTTAAGAAATCTAAGAACAACTATTGAAATATTTAAAGTCTGTTGTCGAGTAACTCTGAATTTATTAGATTCAAAATTATGTAATGAATAAAAGTAACCCCTCATATTAATTAAAATAATTGATACAAAAAACCACATTTCTCTGCGAATCCCATTTATTTATTCTGTATTTCTTCATAGAAACATTGCTTGTGCAATGCGCTCAATTGTCGAAGTCATTAAGACATTTTCTATATTGACCTCTGAGACAGGCTATGAGACACAGTAATCAGCATATGTCTATAGAACGTGCATTTTATTAAGTTGATCATATTAGTTATCAAATTCATAGCAGATAATATAATGTCTTGTCGTGGTATTATATTTTCAATGCGTTTTGAACTATTTGTTCGCTTTACAGTTAATATATCAAGACTTATGAAAGTTATCAATTCAATATTCTGACTGAGTAAATGACAAAAAAAAATCAACGTGATACCACCCATAAAAGTAAAAATTATACTGGATTCACGAGTATAGTAAGTATGCGCGCAAATTATTAAAAAATTCAGAAGTCATTGCCAATGATTAAGCTACAATTGAAATATAGAATTATGATAAGTAGTACCGTTTGCACATATTGTTAATACGTGATACATTAACGCCCTAGTATAAAAGATTCATGTTACATCATCGTATATGTAAGTCCTTAACCAGACAAACTTTTATTCAGATTCATTAGTATTTGTCATTTTTTTTCTTTAAAATTGGAAAGTGCTAAATCACGGTCCAACTTTGAGGGATTTCGTACAGTTAAATTGTTTTCAGTCATCATTAAGTTCAGGTTTTCTGACGGGTTAACCATTCCATGAAAATATTGAAAAACCAACAATTATATGTGGAAATACACTAGTCGAAATAATTAGATGATCGACATAAAAATTCAAAATTTTGAGCAACTTTTCAAATTTCTAAAATTCAATCTTCGCTCAAAACACTGGTCTACAGTGGTTTTGTTGCCCTAGATATAAGATTGATTTTGGATATATTTATACTCACAATTCATGAAATTATGAATGATTTTGTAAGATTTGCTTTCGTTTTTTTTTAAATACTTATTTTTATTTTACATTACAAAAATCGGAAAACGAGAAACAAAATAACAGATATATTTATAATGTCAGTTTTATTTGGATAAAAATATGATATATCGAAGTAAATAGAGAGGAAAATTTGGAAAACATGTTATATTTCCATAAAACGCCTTTTAAGAGCTTTTCTTTTATAATTTTTCCGGGGACAATCTCTTTTATCGACCCTGATATCTTTCTTCCATTACTTTCAGATCCTAGTGGAACCGCTTTCTTGTTCCTCACTATAATTTCCTAAATTATCTAGAAATTTATCCAAATGATTGCGGAGATAGTGTAAATTGATACTCATATTTGCTCCTAGAGTCTGAAAGTTTGTCAGCATATTTTGTACAATTTCTTCATAATTTAGTGCTTTATGGTTACCTAGGAAATTTTCAACTACCAACACAAAACTTTCCCAAGCTTCACTATCCGGAACAGTCATAACTTTAATAAAATCTGCGTCTTATATCAATTGCCGTATTTGAGGACCATCAAATATTCCACCTTTCAACTTTTCCATACTAAGCTTCGGAAATTTTCGACAAATGTATTTAAAAAAATCCCCTTCCTTGTCCAAATCTTTAACGAATTGCTTTTCCATTCCTAACTTAATATGTAATGGTGAAAGTATGATTTTGTCTCTGTTCACCAACGGTTCCCTTATGACATTGGCTTTACCGACAGTTAGAGAATTTCTTGCAGGCCAAACATCTTGTTCCCAATGAAGTTGCTTTGCTCTACTGTCCCACATACAAAGGAAGCAAGGGTATTACGTGTATCCACTTTGTTGACCAAG